AAAATATGCAGATTTAATATGCATTTATTTATTAAAAGGGAAATGAATTTTCGTGTGTAGTTGCCATACGCTAGCAAGTCTTTTGTTTGTGAAGATCAAATATTTTATGGATTTGTAAGAAAGTTTGTGTTCGTATTTGATAACGTCTAAGGGAGTGTCTGGTGATGTATCTAAGTTAGATTGACTGTTTCACCTGACTGTGGATGAATCGTTATTTAATAAGAATCTTGTTAATATAATCTATAGTCTACCACAAAATACCAGAAAAAGATTGATTTCGAGACTGATGACGTCACCTCTTGTAAAGTTCCGCCTCTTGATTTAATTGCGTGAGGTCATGTGCCATTTTCGTTACTGTGTTGTTTAATATTTCTCCTCTTATCTGTCCTGAAGTTATATTTCCCATTCTCCTACTTCACCCCCATCCTTTACCGATGCTCTCCTTCCTCCCTACAGTACTCAGTCCTTACCTTCGCTACTCTTTCCTCCAGCTACTATTTTCCCCTCCCTCACTCTCACCTCTACGTTCCCCTCTCCTTTCCCCTGTATCCGAGCTCTGCACTCCCGCTCCCCGACTACTTTGTCCCCAACCAACACCTCATCTCCCTCAGCTTCTCCCCAGCGTCTCCCCGCTCCCCACAGGACAGAGAGGAGGGAGGTAGAGAGAGCGATGGGGGGTGGGGGCTGCGTAGCGCAGCATCCGGGAGTGGGGTAACCCAAGCTAAGTGGCGATATGTAGAGCAGGCGCGGCCGGGGAGGACCCGCCTGTTGCTGACCCCATGTTGCCTCGCTACTCCTCCCCTTTCTCCTCCGTCTCTTCCTCATTCCCCTCCATACACTCCTCCGAAGTACATTTTTTTTTCACTCTTCTTGATCCACAAGATTTCAGTTTTCCGTGTTGTCTGTCAGCTGACGAAGTGTCTTTCTCCTTCCCTTCTTCTCCCACAACCCCATATCCACCTCTCCAGTCCTCTGTTTTCTTCCCTCCCTTGCCAAATCCCTACTGTCCTTCCCCAATCTATCCCTCACCCTTCTCTTACTCCCTATTCTCCTTCTCCCTACTCTCTTTTGCCCTATTCTTTTCCCCCTACTCCCATTTTCCATACTCTCTTTCCCCCTACTCCATACTCTCTATTCTCTTCCCCCTACTCTTTACTCTTCTACAGTACCTGAGTAGAATGTATGATGCCTGGGTAGGCGAGTGAGGCAGGGCGTAACCTAAGCCAGACCTCCCACAATCACTTCCTCATACTCCCTGTAACTTGACCACCACACACCTATAAACGCTCCACTAACTCACCCTGTAAACCTCATATCAGATAAACCCACCATAAAAATGACTTGGACCATACTGTACTGTACCTGTCGGTTCGTTTGTCTTTTCATCATTCTACTGGAGAAGACCCTTTGAGTTTGTGTACTGACTTTGTCTCCAGATTTCCATTCATTTTTTTTACGGTTAACAAATTTATTGGCAAAGCTTGGAGTACAGTTTGCCTATTCTGAGTAATTCAGTCAGGTCTTGACACTGAGGGTGCTATCACTTCTCACTGCCACGCAGGACAATGGTTCAAGTACACTAGAAGTCATATTCTATTTGAGAACTAATCAGTGTGGGCTTGCAAATTTTGGATAAACAGTAGAAATGTCCTCAAGCACTTCTGATTCAATGTAGTATTTATTGTACATAGTTCAAGATACAATAAGTCAGGTGGCCTGAAGTCTTTGACAGTGTCGCATTCAATAACATAGTGTTCAAATGAATGCTTTAAAGGTTTATCACAAAGTTTACATGCTGAGTGTTCCGGTATGGGTACAGCGTTACTAACTTGCCAGATGTGTCTATCCTAGCCTAATTCTGGCCACGACTACACCCACTTTGTCTGGTTCTGTCCTTATGCTGGCCATACCGGTACATCTTGTCACAAAATTTTTCATATTTACTAATGCTACAACTCCCAGGTCTCTCTGCATTTCTCAGTTCTTCTAGATCAGAGTTCATGATTCTGACTTGAATGATTTAAGTACAGCATTGGGCAGGCCAAGGTCACGGTCAACATTTTCTTTCTTACATGCCTCATTGACAAATCTTTCAGCACAGTCATGATACCTTATTCCAACATGGGACGGAATCCACACAAATTCAATACGAAAGTTGTTCTCCTTAGCAGTTATCACATATCTTTTAATATCACAGACAACTTTAGACATAGAGCCTGATGGTCTGTTCAATGATTTCAAAGCACTTTAGGTGTCACAGAATATCACCCCACCTCCATTTTCTTTAAGGTAGTCTGTAGCTAAGTAGATTCCCATTAGTTCAGTTTGTCTTGTGCTGGCCCAGCTGTTCAGCATTTGCATGTTTGACACTATTATCTCCTTTTCTTTATATATTGCAAATTCACAGCCTGTTCTACCTGTGTTTGTCTGCACAGAACCATCAGTAAAAGCATAACATTCACTTGATTTAATACTATATGTGGCTGTTAATAGTTTCTAGTGTAATACATCTCACCACATCGGTGTTTAACATTTGGTTACTACTAACAGGAGTGTAATTAATAGGAACTGATATATCCAGCCAAGGAAGACTGTCATTGATGGGTTCGTCTGGGGTGATTGGGACATTCAGTTTCAAGAGATATGCAACACTTTTATGAAGCCACGGCCCAAAGAGAGTCTTCTGTGGAAGGTTAGCGAGATAGTCGGGATTACTTAGATAGAACATCAACTCAGTTTAAGCTGTAGTTTGGGGACCATTGTTATTCAAAAGTTGACACAAAACATGGTATTAAGTAGAGCTATCCTCTCAGATAGGGAGGGCAGCCCGAGCTCTTTCCTCGTGTTTACAATTCTGGTAGATTTGGGGCATCCTAGAATGCTGAGCCTGGCTTCATTTTGTCCTACCTCCAGGCTGTTTAGTTGTTTAAAGGGAATAGTTATAAGATGGAGAGCATGATAATTTAATCAACTACAGATCGAATGAAGTGAAGTTAGAAAGAACAAGCATAGATGATGTTAATTCCATAGCTCTTACCAACAAGTGTTCTGAGAGTTTGGCGCAAAGGTTGCCGACGAAGTTCGCATCATTTACATTAATTCCAAGATATTTATAAGAGCTACATAGTTCCACGGGCATGCTGTTAATGTTAAATTTAAGAGGCAGAGG